AAGCTCAGGCCATTTGGGCACAGCCTCAGCCCTGTGAGCTGAGAACTGCACTGGTGTAAGAATTTGAGCAAACCCAGGGGACCATTCAGTTCTATCTTGGTCACTGGCCTCCCTCCAGCCCATCTCACTGGTCACTGGAAGCTGTTCCCACTTATAGCTATCCACAGCTCTCAGGCCACTGGAATTCCGCATAAAACTAGGGAATAAAAACAAGTTCTGCTTTTAGTGCCGCCACCATCTTTGCATTGTTATGTTTATGTCAGGGATAATAAATTATGGCCAGTTCTGTTTTAATTCAGTACCACAAACTCAAGTCAGGGACAGTCTGATCCTAAGCCCTGTGCAGCCCCATGGCACTTGATTAATGCCATTTGTGTCAGTGTGGGCATTTGAAAAATAAAGCTCTGCAGCTTAATCAGCCATGGCAAGGCCACAGTCTGGTTTGTATTTTGTTGTTTAAAGCAGGGCACTTGTGGAGCAGATGTCATGTCAGGGAGCAGGGCTGGTGCAGGCTGTGTGGTGGCATCTGCTGAACTTTGTGACCTTTTCATCTCACTTGGTGCATGACACCCTGCCATGGACACAGCTGTGCTTTGCTGGGAGCATTTTTGAAAATGAACTTCAGATACAGCAATGATGGATGCAGTGACTCAGAAAACCAGGAGAACACCCCTGCACGCTTTATGGAGCCTGCCCAAGCCAGTCCCTGGTGTGCCAGGTTGTCTGGAACGTTTCCTGTGGGTTTGTTTTGCAGGAGAGCAGCACGTCCAGAGTTTGTGCCTGCAGCCAGGAGAAAGAATGTCCAGTGGAGAAGACCTTGAGCAACAGCCCTGTGAAATCTGAACGAGAAGTTCTCTTAGTTGGTGAGTTCTGCTGGCTCGATGGTGATTCCAGAGACCTGGGCTGGGGGGCCCTGCTTCAAGGTGACCTTGCACTCCTCCTGCCCACCTCTGGCTCCTTTGGTTATCCCAAGGGAGATGGGAGTCCTGGAACTGAGGAAAACCTTGAGCTTTGCTGGGGTCAGGGTGTGACCTTGTGACCCCTGGCCGCCCGCAGGGGCACAGGGCTGATGTTCCCAGCTGGCTTTTGGCTCGTGACAATGACCTTTGTGGTGTTCCTTTCCCCAGGGATAATTTCAACGTTTCTCCACGTGCATCCGTTTGGAGCCAGCATTGAGTACATCTGCTCCTACCTGCAGCGCCTGGACAGCAAGGTGGGTGTGGGAGGCTGGGCTGGACAGTGAGGCCTGGGCTCCACTCCCTGCAGGAATCTGCTGGAAGAGAGCGAGGGATGGGGCGAATTTCAGGATGACAGGATGGTTTGTGCTGGGAGGGACCTCAAAGCCCATCCAGTTCCATGTCCTGGCAGGGATGCTTACCACTATCCCAGGCTGCCCAAAGCAGCCCAGCTTTGGGGTTCACCACTAACCACATCCCCAAGCAGTCCCCTGTCCCACTGGCTTTGTGCTCCTTTTTGGAGTAAGTGGGAGCAGCAGTGACGAGGCTTCTGGAAGGAATTGCATCTCATCTCCTCTATCCCAGTCGCCAGCTGTCTTCCTTAAAGAGCCCCAGGGACAGGAGGCCCCACAGGCATGGGAATCCTGTCTTGGGATTGGAACTTATCCAGCTGCTTGAGTATATAAATGAATGTTTAGTTTACCCTTTCCTAAGAAAACGTGGCTTCCTGGCCTTGCTCACTCCAGCCTTATAAAGACAGAGTTAATAATTTTATCTCCTCATTCTAGCTTGGAATTTGGCTGTGGGGCCACCAGCTGCCTTTATTTTAGTTTGGAACTCCTATAAAACTGCCATCATAGCACTCAGCTGCCTTCTGGAGCTTCCTCTTTGGTATCCACAGTGCAGAGAAGGGCTTCTGGGAGCTTCTGCTTGGGAGAACCCCTGTGCAGAGCCCACCCTTTAACCTGTGCTATGGCATCATGTTCACTCACACTTAGGGCTATTCCCATTGTCCTTTGTGTTCCTTCTGAGCTCTTCTGTCTCCTCCTTGACTCTTGCAGGAGCTTGGATTAGTTTGGGATGTAATTTTTAACCCTGAGCAGGTTTTTGGGCCTGAGGTGAGGCAGGAGGGGGAGGAGTACTTGGAAGTACAACCTGATTTCTTGAAGCTGCCAACAGGAAAGGAAGGGGAATATCTTTCCCCTGTTCCCTGTCCATGATTCTCATCAAGAAGATCAGCAGAGAGCACAAAAATTAAGATCCAAGGTGGTTTGGAGTCGTGGAAGAGTCCTCCAGAAGTTGCCTGTAGCCCTGAGTGTGGGACCTTGGGCTCACCTCAGGTTCTTTCTGTGCAGTGGTGCAACCCCAGTCTTAGCTCTTGGCACAGCTCCTGGTGTCCCAGCATTATCCCCAGGAGTTCAGGGAAAGCCTGGATGAACTTCAGCCGTGTGACTATTTGAGTTTAAGTTATCACCAGCCATCAGGGCTTCCATCTTCCCTTTCAGTCCTGTTTTCTTTGTGTTCCCCAGATCTGCACGGCAGAGGTGGAAGTTCTCATGACACGGCTGCAGAACACGTTCCGGCAGGAGCTGAGCGGGGTTGGGGCCAGCCTGGAGAAGAGGTGGAAGTTTTGTGGCTTTGATGGATTGAAAATGACTTGAGCTTTGACTTAACGCTGGAAACAGTGGGATATGGATGCTGAGAAAACCCAGGATGCTCCTTCCTCTGTTCCTGATGATTCCCTCACACCACGGCCTCGGGGTACAAAGTGTAAAAGTGAAACCAAGTCCAGAGCAGCACAGGAAGAACCTCCAAGTTCTGCAGCTGCTTTGATCAGTTATTTGTTAATGGGCAAGTGCTGTTCAGTATATTTGGGGAAAAAAGCTCCTGCCTGACCCTTTGAAGCACAGCGTGTTGACTCTGTGTTCTGCCAATGTTGTATGTGCTTGTGTGCCCAAATTCCCCCTCCTCAACCTTTCTTCTGCTAGGAACAGCCACAGACTGTCCTGAAGCAACAACAAAGGGGCATCTTCTTGTTTCTAGACCACCAAAAGGGGAAAAAAAGGCATTTTTAAGATATTTCTATTAGTAAAAACCAAGGTTTGTTTAAACAGATTTAGACGGCTCAGGGGCCTCTGAGCCAATGAATTGTTTCTTTTTTTGCTGTTCTCTCTGTTAGCAGTTAAGCTGAGGTGGGGGCAGAGGGGGATTCTGGCAGTGCCACTTGTGCTCTGGGTCAGTCTGTACAGAATCTTTTACATGGGAAGGGGATGTGGGTGGAGCAGAGCGACATCAGCCTGGCTTTTGGTGATTTTTACCACCCCGTTCCTTCACCTGCTTTGCTTTGGAGACCAAGCTCAAGCAGCACGGACTCCTCTGCTCCTGATCCTTCCCAGCCCTGTTCTTCATGCTCCCAGTGCATGCCATGCTCCTGCCCAGCTGTGCAGAGGTGCAGGGTAGCACAGCTCAGCCCATCCCAGCCTGGGGCCCTCTGGATCCTCCTGTCTGCAGCAGCCTCACCTTCCCAGCCTGGTGTCACCTGCAGAGGTCTCAGTCACCCCGTGCAGTATTCCTGTTCTGCTGACATCCCAACGTGCTCCCAGCATGGCAGTTGGCATGTCCCAGCCCCTCCTGTTTGTTCCCATGCCCCAGGTGTTGGTGCCCTTCACTTGGGCTATTGATCCCACCTCATCTTTGGGGGAGAAGCCCCAGTTCATATGTTCCTGTTGTCAGGCATTTCCCGAATGTGTGACACATCCCCAGCCCTGGTGTCATCCTGCCAGGTGCTTCTCCACCCTGTGCCATGGCCAAGGTGGTGCCCAGGTGAGTACAGGGACATGTCTGGTGTGTTCTGTGTACCTGGCACAGAGACCTGATGGTGTGTGAACTGATTCCTCATCCAAAACCCCAAAATTCCACTGGTGACACCAGGCTTGGAGCCAGCTATTGACCTGCTGGCTCTGTTTCTCCTCTCACCATTGGGGGAAGGACAGAGGAGAGCACTCCCTGTGCTCCTGCTCCTTTCCCACTCACCCCAAGGCTTTGAGGTCTCTCCAGATCCCTTGGACTTCTTCCTGCACCTTCATCCTCCAGCCCCAATAACTCATCCTCCTCGTTGTTGTTCCCACTGGCAGAGCCTGGCACCAGTTCTCCCTGGGCACTGGGGGAGCCAGGGTGGTCACAGAGGAGACACCCTTGCTGTGCCAGCTGGGAACGTGGCACCCGTGCCACCTGTCCCTTGGGGTCAGCCAGGTGGAGAGAGAGCAGGGTGGTGTGTACTCAGAGCTCTCCTTGGGAAAATCAAGGAAGAAACTTCAGGAATCAGGACAGTTGCAGAGCCCTGGGAGCAGCCCCGAGTCAGGGAAAGTGTGGGGTCAGTGGGGACGGGGCTGGGCTCCCCAGCGGGGCAGCTCCCGCAGCACAAGGATTTGCTGGGTCCCAGCCTCTGTTGGCTGCAGGGTGGGAGCTGGGATGGGGCCAGGGCACCGTGGGCAGCCAGAGCCACCTCCTGGGGGTCTGAGGGAGCTGGGGCTGTTGGAGAGAGCAGGCAGGTTGTTCCATGGGGCAGCAGAAGGGAGAGGAGCCAGCACCTGTGGGGCAATGGCTGGTGCTGTGGAAGTGAGTCAGGGCTAGAGCACCTCGGGGTGCTGCTTCCCCTCTCCCAGGGCCTTTCCAGAGGGGCTGAGGTTGCTCCCAGGAGAAATCCATCCTGCAGATGGGCTGCTGAGGTGACATCCAGGGATGGGTGGCAGAGATCTTCCCTTGGGACCAGGCTGTTCCCATATGGGCTATTGTTCTCCCTCTTCCCAACACTGACCGCTTGCCACACAGGGAGCAGATTAAAAACCCTTTTAAAAAATGTTCTGCATAGTTGTGTCCCTGCAGATGAATGCTGTATTTTTAAAGAATAAACATTTTTTATGGGCAAATCTTGACCCTGCTGCTTTCTTTGTCATTCCAACCCAAACCATTCCATGATCATGGGCCAGGAGCCTGGCTGTGGCCCCCAAAGGGCTCATGGGTGTGTTAATTGGCAAGTGCCAGTTCTGGGTGTTGGTAGAGATTTGGGAGGCTCTCCAAGGTCTGTAACCCTCTGGGAACAACTGGAGCTGTAGCTCCACCCCATGAGGTCTGTGAGCTCCTCAACAGCAGAGCTCTGCAGGGACCCTGGATGTGGAGAGCATCCATCTGCCCAGCCTGTGCCAGACACTGTCAGGGGGAGGGAGGATGCTGTGGTGGAGCACCAGGAAGGTCTGCATGGAGAGCTGAGGTGGGAATCATCCACTGGCCCTGCCCAACCAGCCCAGGCAGCATGTTCCCAGTTCAGGTTTCACCTGCCAGCACAGCTGATGCTTCGGGGGTGTCTGGTTGCCCGTGGATGGGAGTGGGAAAAGCTGAGGATGGAGGGGATTGAGCAATGAGCAATCCCTGCCAAGGCTCAGTGTCCAGCGTGGGAAGTGCAGTTCCTTCCATCCAGCCCTGCCCTCCCTCCACACGCTGTTTCTGGCTCTCATTTCTTTGGCAGAAAATTCACATTCTCATCCCCTCTCTCCTCCCCTCGGCTGTGGCAGCTCCTTTCCATCACTTCCCCACTTCTCCTCCTGCCTGTGGGCTGGAAGGGCCCCTGGAGCCTTTGAGGAGATGCTGCTGTGAAAACCATTGTCCCAAAGGAAGAGCCGGGAGCTCCAGGAGCTGCTGGTGCTGCTGCAAGAGGACACAGGCAAGGTAAATGTGGGCCCTTTGTTCTAGCTGGCAAGAGAGAAACTGCAGCTGAGCCTGGGGGAGCAGCCACTGCTCCTTGGGAATGGAGGGGGCAGCTGGACTGAGCTTTCCCCATGAGATTTCCTGAAATAAGCACTAGTCCTGTTTTTGAGTTAGTGAGATTCCTGCTCCGGCATCCCCTCCAAAGGGGGATTCGTGTGGGGCTCTGCCTTTGCCCCTGCTGTGGGTCAGCATTTCCTTCCTTGTGGGGAGCCTGGTGCCTGCCCAGGCTGAGTGAGCTCTCCTGCCCCACGGTGATTCACAGGGATCACCGATCCCTGTCCCCTGCAGGGACACCCACACTGCTCTTGTGCCTCTGGCTTGGAGGTGCTGGTCCCATCTCAGCTGTTCCCAGGGACATAAATCCACACCTGGCGTGAGAAGCAGGACTGGTGGTTGGGGTTAACTCGTGGAGGATGAGCTTTGGCAGTACCAGTCATGGTGGCACGTCACAGGGCTCCTCGAGTGGCGCCTGCGGTTGGGCAGATAAGCAGCAGCTTGTTTGCCCTTCTCCTTCCTGCCTTCTCCTTCCTGCCTTCCCTCTGCTGCTCCCTCCCGTGACTGGGATTCCTCCTTCTCCTCCTCACCCCATGGTGGCCGCATCCCCCAGGACTCTGCTCAGGCTGGGATGTGGCCGTGGGCTCTGCTGGAGTGTGGAGCTTCACCTGCACCAAGGTAATTCCTTGCAGTGTGTCTCTGGGGGCTTGTCCGTCCGTCCATCCATCCATCCATCCATCCATCCATCCATCCATCCATCCATCCATCCATCCCTGCACAGCAGAGCTGCTCCTGCCCTGCTGGGAGCTCCAGTGCAGCACAGGCACAGGAGCTGTCCCTGGCATGTGGAGATGCTCTCATCTGTGACAGCCAAGGAGTTTCCTGCCTCGCGCCATCCCAGGGGAGCAGGATGGAAATTATAAAAATCCCTGCACTGTGCCTCTTTAATTTGACAGAGGGCAAGGATAGATGGGATATTGGGAAGGAATTCCTTCCTAGGGTGGTCAGGCCCTGGCATAGGGTCCCCAGAGCAGCTGGGGCTGCCCCTGCATCCCTGGAAGTGTCCAAGGCCAGGCTGGATGGGGCTTGGAGCAGCCTGGGACAGTGGAAGGTGTCCCTGCCCATGGCAGGGGTGGAATGAGATGGTTTTTGAGGTCTCTTCCAACCCAAACCAGTGTGGGATTCTATGATGTAGCTGAATTCCATTTTCAGTGTCCACTTACAGGGAACTCTGAACAACTCCTTAATATTTGTTTTCTTGTTTAACTTATGTAACTTTCTAAATTCTAATTTCTAAATTTGTAATTTCTAACCTTTAGAAACTGAAATTTCAAACCTGGCCAGAAGGAACCAGTCTCAGGGGCTGGAGGGGGGTGGCAGAGACTGACACAGGAGCCCTGTCCTGTTCCTGGGGGCCTCACTGCATTCCTTGAGACTTCCAGCATTTATTTTTCATTCTTGCCTTAAGTCTCTTTGGGGAGGTTCTTTTCAGAGCCTGTACTCTGACCTCAATCCTACCTTCTCTCTGGGGCTGCTGCTGCTCTTTGGACTGTGCCAGGTGGTGCCAGTGCTGGGGCGGTGGCACAGGTGGCACCAGGAGGAGGTGGCACCGGCTGGAGGCAGCCAGGTCAGTGTGGGGTGAGGAACCAGGTCCCTGTGTGGGCTCTCCCAGAGCCTGCACACAGCAGGGAGGGCTCCCCAAGGCTCTGGGAGAGGAGATGGGGTGTCCAGGGGGTGTCCATGGGCTGTGGTGCAGCCTGTGCCTGGGGTAAAGGGCTTTGGCACCTTTGGTCACGTGCAGTTGTTTGTGATTTAAAAGGGATAAACCACAGAATTTGGGAGAGATCTTAAAGCTTATCTCCTTCCATGCAGGGACATTTTCCACCAGTGCAGGCTGCTCCAAGCCCTGTCCAACCTGGCCATGGACACTCCCAGGGCAACCACAGCTGCTCTGGGCACCCTCTGCCACCCTCCCCACCCTCACAGGGAACAATTCCTTCCCAATATCAAATCTAAATCTCTTCTACTGACATCTCCAAGGCCTTTGCTTGGAGGGGTGGAGTGAGATGATGTGGTTGGGGCATCTGCAGCCCCACTGGCTCTTTGCAGAGGTGACAGAGTGACAAATGTCTCCTGCAAAGACTCCCTGGGTGCTCCCAGCAGTTTCTCTCCTAAAGCAGGTGTCGCTGCCATGTGTTCCTTTCACACAGGTGTGTTTTGCAGAGGACCTTTGGCTCGGCCCCTGTGCCAGGCCCCAGCCCTGGGATGCAGCCCGTGGCCCTGCAGAGCCTGTCCGAGCTGGAGAGGGCCAGTCTGCAGGAGCTGGCGCTGTTCCGGCTGCAGGAGAGGCTGCCCCTGGGGCACCTCAGTCTGGACAGAGGTACAGGGGACAGGAGGGGACAGGAGGGACAGCATGGGACAGGACAGGAGAGGAGGCTCCTGCCAAGGAGGGCTGAGGCTGAGCCATTCATGCTGCTCACCCCCACACCACAGTCCGGGATGATGGTTATGCAAAGACATTTGTGACACGTTTTGGTCCATTCTATTTCTCATTCCTGCTTTATTCTGAGCCCCAAGGCCTGATCAGCCTGTGGAGGGGTTTGCGTGTCCTCAGCAGTGTGAGAACATGACCCTCCAACCCCCAAACCCAAACCAGATGTGACAGCTCGGCGAGGTCTCCACTGGGATTGTCTGAGTGCCCTTGGGGTGGGACGGGATTTGCTGTTTGGATCCATGGCCAGCAGTAAGTCCTGATGCTGGAAAGGGGCTTATGGGAGAGTGGATAATGCCCTGGCACGTAAAAGGGTGGATAAATTTAGGAGCTCCGCAGGAACTGAGAGCAGAGGCCCTGTCAGGGTTCCCAGGGCTGCCTGTGTCCCCCACCAGCAATCCCAGAGAGTTGTGGTTCCCAGACTCCTTCCCAAATTCACTTCTTATCCCCTTGATGTGCCTTCTGTGTCCTGGGCCATATTTTGGCATCCCAGCAGGGCAGGGGATGCTACCAGCTCACCAGGTCTGGGGCTGGGGGTGCAGAGGGAGCCTGGGGGTCTCCAGCCCCCCTTCCACTCCCAGCACCCCAGGGCAGGATGGAGGCTCCAGGTCTCTGGGGTCCTCTCCCAGGGACAGAGCATCTCCCAGTGCCCAGCCTCACACTGAGCACCAGCTGCTTGAGGTGACACCCTAGTCTGGCTTCCCACCTTAACATCCCAAAGATTGCATGCCATGAAACAGCGTCATGAAGGGTCCAGCACAGCTCCCCTCTCCTTCCCAGAACTTCCAGTTGCTCCAGAGCTGCAGCCCTGGAGGACTTTGACCACAAACATCCTGATTCCTTTTCTATTTTGTTTTATTTTGGGCTGTTGTGATCCAGCTTGGAGTGTCACCCTGCAGCAGCAACTCCTCTAGGGACCAGTGCAGTGCCAAAAAAAGCCCCAAACCCCAATATTTCCTTCCTGGTTGGTCAGTGTGCTGCTGGATAATTTATGTTGGCTTCTACACTCATGTTCCTCATTCCAGCTGTCCGAGCTTTCCTCTAGGTCTTACAAAATAACCCAAACAAGAAGATATAACTGTTCCTAGGAAGAGAATTCCTCAAGAATGAAGAGTATGAGCCAGAATAGGGTGATGTGTCCTGGAAGGATTTAGGGTGGGCAGTGAGTGAATTCTCAGTTCACTGCTGCTGGATATGTGAGGTGGGAGTCCTACAGACCAGGATGGGATTTGTGATGGTGTTTTGTCCAACTTTTTACATCTGTGCTCTAAGACATTCCCAAAAGCCTTTCTGGGTCTCACTGCTCATGTAGAGCCATGGGGTCCCTCCACCCCTTCACCCACAGAGGATGGTGCCAATCTCTGGGAATGTTCTCCAGGCAGTGATGTCCATCTCCAGGGTTGTTCCTGGGCAGCTGCTGCCCACTGTGTGTCCCAGGGGACTCCTGGATCCCCTCAGGGCCGTGGCTGTCACTGCAGTGTCCCCTGGCTGGAGGCTGCAGAGGGACAGGGAGCCTATTCTGAACCAGCCCCAAGATGCTGGTGCTGAACCTTCCCCTTCTCTTCTCCTCCTAGATGGCTCCAAAGGCATTAAATCCATCCGGCAGAAGCTGGAGAGCTTCTCGAAGGAGAGGAAAGGTGAGCAGCCTCACTTTTACCTGGGCTTTGGTCCCTGCTCTCAGGGGGAATGGGTGATTTTTGGAGGGGTGGGGTGGGAGGTGCCCGAATCCAGCAGGATGCTTCATCACAGTTGTTCTACTGTTCTTGGAATGGTACGAGCTTGATGGAGTCTGGAAAGATGTGTGGAATACGTGCAATGCATTTTCAAGGTGAACACCTATAAATGTGTCTTTCTGCCCATTTTGCCCCAATCTTGCTGCCTCCACTTCTATCTTAGCATCCCTTGAAGGACCTCAGGGACAACCCTGGGGTACACAGAATCCTAGAGCAGAGCCAGGTGGGAACGAGCTTCCCCACACCAGTACAAAACCCATTCAAAGAAACTACTGAAATTAATGCTTCATATTTTACTTGGAATGTTTAGTAGAATGTTTAAACATATCAATCATTGTACCACATGCTGATAGCAACTTAGGAGCTGTTTGATCTCTGTTTATGGTGAAAGCATTGCATAGTTTCAGTCCTAAAGTTCCCAAAGAGGGAGTGATAACAAAGAAGCTTCATCCACAGCTGGAAGCTGCTTCTGAATGCATAATAGTAAGTCTTTTAACTCAGATTTTGAAACATTACAGGAATTAGATTTGACCAGATTTTTAAGGTTTTTATAAACATCTCTAGGCAAATTGGACATCCAGTGTCCTAACCTGTTCCATGAGGCTTACCTGTGTTGAACAACAAGCAAGTCCTTGTCAGATCTCCGTCCTGATTGAGCCAGTGACAAGGGTAGAAATCCAACTTCTCTCTTCTTGCAAGAGTTATGATCCCAGGATTTGTGCTTCTCTCCGCAACACTTTACAAAAATGACCTCAGGCCTTTCTGGCAGATCAGAGAGTTTAGTTGAGTTATCTGCTCCTCACAGGGGCACCGATTTGTTGGACAGTAGTCTCTTCTTGATCTAGAGATGGGGCAACTGAGAGGCATTTTAAAAACTTTTATTCTATTTTCAGTCTCATGAGAAGGGTGAGACAATATCCATGTTATAATTCATGCCATGACCATCAGAAGCCAACTACTTCCTAATTACAATACACTATGAGCGTTTCTTGGCCTATCAGCTTTTTGCTGTGCTATGCTGTAGATACCTTAATGCTAATCACCTAAAGTTACCCCTCGTGGTCCTAATATAATGCATTTTTCATAGTTTCATTTCTCTAAAGTATCTAGTCTTTTTTGTAAGGTCATCTTTTGAAACTTTTTTCTAGCTCCATTTTTCTCTCAACACTATTTGCCTTATTCTATGGTATTTCGAAGTCAGCAATTCTTGTCTCAAAGGCTGCATATGGATGTATACTGTGTGGGCCTTCTGTTAGGCCCTGAGAATCCTCTACAAACCCATTTCTCACAGTTAGAATTTGGAAAGGATCTTTTGGTGATTTATGAAGTTATTGCTTCATAGATGCCATGGCATCTTCATGGGGCTGTAGCCAGTTAAAGGAAGGAAACTCCAGGAAAAACTGGGATGGGCTCCAACAAGCCTGCTGATGGAGGCCAGGCCCCTGTGTCTCCTCCCTCTCCCCCCAGCACCCCATTTTCCACGCCGTGCCCTCCCCCCTGGCTGTTTGGCACCCACCACACCTTTCCTGCTCTCCAGGAGGAGCAGCTCCCCTTGGGTTTGCCTGGCTCCAGGTGCTCCTGGGGGCACGCGGGGTTCATCCCTCACTGTAATTCCTGTCCCTTGCTCCCGTGTTTCCCCCAGAGTGCTCTCCCCACACCTTCGGGGTCCCGCTCCCCCAGGTCATCGCCAACGACCGCGCCTGCCGCCAGCTGCAGGAGGCCGTGGGCAAGAGCCGGCGGCTCTGCCTGGAGGTGGAGGCCACGGTGACCAGGTTCCGGGCTCAGAGGCAGAGGAGGTTGGGAATGGGCACCAGCTGTATCCGGGCACCCGACGGGGGCTGCCCAGAGGAGCCGCCTTCCCCAGCTCTTGTGGACAAGAGCTCCTGGAGCCAGCGGAGGGTATGGTCCCCAAAACGGGCTGTGGTGGTGCTGTGGGATGGGGGCTTCTGAATTCGGCAATAAATGGGATTTTCGAGGATTTTTTCTTACTGACTGAGTTGGTTGTGTCCCAGGCTGGGCCGGTCCCAGTCTGTCCTTGGGCAAACGGTGATGTCCCCAGTCCCCTCAGAGATGGACTGTGAGGAGTGGGAGGACTTCACTAGCACAGCTCTTATGGAGCTGAGGTTCACCAGGGGGACATTTAGGGGTCCAGAGGACAGGGATGGATGAGATATTGGGAAGGAATTCATCCCCATGAGGGTGCGCGGGCCCTGACACAGGGTGCCCAGAGAAGCTGTGGCTGTCCCTGGATCTCTGGAAGTGTCCAAGGCCAGGGTGGACACTGGGGCTTGGGGCAACTTGGGATAGTGGAAGGTGTCCCTGCCCATGGCAGGTGTGGCACTGGATGCTGCCCTTTCCCAGAAACCCGAGATGTCACGGCAGTGACGGATCTGTGAGGTCATTCCTGCCACCTGCAAACACCCTGTGCTCCATCCCAGGGGGCCATGTCCGTGGATTCCATCACGGACCTGAGTGACAACGCCTCCGAGCTGCTGGAGGCCCTGCAGCTCTCACACCCCCACGAGCTGCACCCTCGCAGGAGCCGGGGCAAGAAGAAGCCACTGAGCCTGAACCCCATCACCTGGCAGGTGCCACGGATTGTGGACAGGTGCTGCACTCACCTTGAGACACACGGTAAGGGCTGGAAAAACTCCCTGTGTGTGGCCACCAGGACATCCTGGCCTGGCCACCCCCAAGGGGGGAGGAGGGCCGGGTTTAATGGGCACTGTGGGATTCACCCGAAGGTTGGACTCGATGGTCTTGGAGGTCTTTCCCCACCTGAATGCTTCTGTGAGTCCTGGGGCAGGGCATCTCCCAAAAAGCCTCCTGTAGAGAGTCCTCTGGGTTGGATGCAGCACCAGAGGGGAATGTCACTGAGGAGGGAATATCACTGTGTGTGCCAGTGACCATCCCTTGGTGCCTCAACCTCTGCTGCACATCCAGCCCTCGCTCACAGTGACTGTAGGGATGGTATCTCCTCCCTTCCCACAGGCAATCCAAGGAAATCTCATGGCTCCACAGCCCTTCCTTTTCCTCACTGCCTGGAGAAGGGAAAGCCAAGCAGGAGAAGCCCTACCATGGTGCTGAGGTGCTCCCAGGAGCAGCCAGGGTGGCAGGGAGCCATGGGAATGCACAGCACTAACCTCTCTGTCCCCCAGGGCTCCAGACTGTTGGCATCTTCCGTGTCGGGAGCTCCAAGAAAAGAGTCCAGCAGGTAAAGGGGGGCATTCACTGCATCCTCTGGCTGTGCCTTGTCAGGGATAGAGGCTTGTGTGGATGGGGATGGATAGAGCTGATATTGGTGTGGAGAGATCTGAAACAGAGTAGAGCTGACTGTGATTTTCATCCTTCCCATTTCTTCCATCTCCAAGCTGAGGGAAGAGTTTGACCGAGGGCTGGATGTTTTCTTGGATGAGCATCAAAGTGTTCATGATGTGGCTGCCCTGCTCAAAGAGTTTCTCCGGGATATGCCAGATTCCCTGATTCCCAGAGAGCTCTATGGAGCCTTCCTCAGCACAGCCAGTGAGTACCTGTGGAGCAGAGCCTGCACAGCCACAGCAGGATTTGTGTCGGGGGCACCTCTCACTTGGTCAGGTTCCTCCAAGTCCTGTCCAGCCTGACTTTGGACACTGCCAGGAATGGATCCTTCCTCACCACCCTTCTTTTCCAAAGCCTCTGGACAGCGATGGGATGGGTGTTGTGCTCTCTGGCACTGCCACACACAGTACTGTAATCAGTGGGTTTGGTGGGGGTTTTGTTTGATTTCTTTGGAATTGGACTATAAAAATCCCTCTGCTCCGTGCCAGTCTTTGGCTGTGGGGCTGTGCAATATCCAGCAACACCACAGCCCTTGCTGGGCTCTCCATCCCATGGGAGGAAGGGTGGGACATCAGCCTGGCTCCCACCAGAGCTCATTCCCAAGCATGTGGAGGAGGGCTGGAAGTGCCTGGTGGGCTGGGACCCTCACTAACAGCTGCTCCCCAGCCCTGGAGGGGCCGGCCCAGCTGGACACCCTGCAGCTGCTGCTGTTCCTGCTGCCCCCGTGCCACAGTGACACCCTGCTCCGGCTCCTGCGCTTCCTGGCCAAGGTGGCCCAGCACGCTGAGAGCTCCTGGGACCCCGAGGGCCGCAAGGTAAGGCCGCTCCAGGGGAAAGGTGCTCGGGCTGCTGGGGCTGGAAGTGAGCGGAGCTGCTGCAGGCCTGGGTGAAGGCTTTAGGAAAAAACAAATCCTTCACAGAATCCCAGGGTCATTGTGGTTGGAAAGGTGGGAAGGTGAGGCAGGTGGAAACGGGATGAGTGTGTGCTCCAGCACTTCAAGCCCTTTGTGCTGGCCCTGCCACCAGCTCAGAGAGGACCAAACTGGACCAGGACCAACATCTCACCCTCACCTCACCCTTGTGTTTCTGCCCTGGGGTGGGTGAGGATATCCTGGGGCATCCCATGCTACTACATCCACAGTCCACAGGTTCCTTTTGTGCTTCCTTGTAGATCCCTGGGAATAAAATGACAGTGTCAAACCTGGCTACAGTCTTTGGTCCCAACATCCTGCAGAAGGAAAAGCCTGGAGAGAAAGATGCCAGTGCCCTGAACTTTGAGGACAGTGCTGCCATAATCCTGGTGCTCCAGAGGCTGATCGAGCACCACCACTCCCTGTTCATGGTATATGGGGCTCCTCAGGGCAGCCCCTCCAGCCCCTCCTTCCCTCTGAACTCTTCCAAGAGCAGCAGGGGAAGGATTTTGTCCCTGTCAGACATGCACAATTTGGTCTGTGCCCATCTTCTGGGAAGGCTCTGGCTCCCTTCTCTCTCCACCCTCCCACAGGGCACTCGCAGGGAGCAGTAAGAGTCCCCTCAGGTCTATTGCAATGTGACTTTTCATGTCCCCAAAAAGCCTTATAGCAATTTTTGGGGCCTGCAGGGAGCCAAAGGACCGGGGATAGTGGGGGGAAAGCAGGGGCTGAGATCCCGCAGACCCCGGGAGGTGTGACCATGTGGGGTGTGACCCCAACATGCTGGGTCTGTGACCACGTCCTGGGGTCCTTCCCTGGCTGTCTCTGCTCAGCCTCCGGCTGAGAGGGACCCCACGAGCGGTGTGGCCGTGTCTCCCCAGGTGTCTCCAGAGATGCAGTGTGACGTGCTGAGGAGGCTGTTCCAGACAGACCCCGATGTCATTGAGTACCTGCTGCGCAGGAAATTCCCTGACGTGCTGTAAGTGCCCGAGGGGCTCCTCAGGGCACAGGGACAAGTGACACACGCCCTGCTCATCTTCCTCCAGCGCTCTGGTCACGAGCTCCCCAGAAAAAGCCCTTCACACTCCATCCTTCCCATCCCTTGGAGCTCCCTGCTCTCCTGTTTGCTCCTCAGCCTGTGCCAGCTCTCTCCAGAGCTCTGGTACTCCTGTCCAGCCCCTCCCCTGCTCCTGCCTCTCACTGTCACATGCTGATTCCTGCTCCACCACCAGCCTTCTCCAAACCTCCTCCGTTCTTGGTGTCCACGTTTCCCTGCAGTCTTTGCCTGCTCTGTGTGTCTGTGTGGGGCTGCCAGCTCTGTCCATACATCCACATTTCGGGTGCAAGATGGGACAGTCCCACTGAAGCTCAGAACAGGAGCTCATGCCCTTCCCTAAGGTTAAAGTGGCTGAAAGGACCTCACGTCCCATGAGCTGGGTCCACCATGGCACATAATGCAGAAGGAGGTTTGTTCCCTGGGGTTGGAAGAGGGAATGGTTGAAAACTGGGGATCCTGGGAAGCAGGGGATGCTCAAGAGCCTTCAGTAGAGCTGATGACTCTTCAGTAAACATGAATTGTACTCTGAGAAGGGTTTTCCCAGACCACAGGCCACTTCTATACCAGTTTGGACAGGGTTTGGAGCAACATGGTCTAGTGGAAGGTATCTCTGCCCATGGACTACATGCTCTTCAAAGTTCCTTCCAACCCAAACCCAGGATTCTGTGATCCATGCTGCATCTTCTTGTTTGCCTTCACATTCCTTTTGGGACTTTCTGGAGATGGCAATCTTTGGGATCACTGCCTGAGCCCATTTGGGAGCGCAGTAGGCAGTAGAAGCATTTGCAAGCAGCATCTCTCTCTTTTTTGCTCCCTTAGGAGCCCAGAGTGTGAGGATCCCGGGCAGGACCTCGCTCTGCCCGCGCTGCCCGGCTGGACACACAGCCTGGAGCGAGGCTCGGTCTCCTCGGAGCTCTACAGCAACGTCTCCTTCCTAAACCTGGATGTTGGCATCTAGCAAGCCCTGGCCAGGCTCCCTGGACAAAACCAGGCAGCTTTTCCCAGCAAAACCCAGCCCCTGCCTCACTCTGGGGCCAGCCCCTGTGCCTGTGCCCTGGGGGCAGAGCTGTACTCGGGGCTCACCTGCCAGGCTGGCACCTCCCTGTGGGTCCAACCACTGCCACGTCCTCAGCACAGCCCTCTCTGCCACCTCCTTCTCACAGGACCTCGGGGAATGGCTTTCCATCCCTAGACCTGGGAGCACTCTTGGGAGGACAGGCTGAGGAAGCTGGGACTGCTCAGCCATGAGAAGAGATGGCTCAGAGGGACCTTATCTGTCGCCCTGTTCTTCTAAGTTCTTCTAAGCCTTCTGATGTTTACATTCTTCTAATGAAGTTTCTCACGCACTTTTATGTAATTAATTATTGTTTTACATTCTTCTCTAGAGGAGGAGAAATTTGATGGACTGTTGGTTTGTCCAGTGCCATTGGGGAGGTAGCACTTTCATCCTCCAATGCACTGTCACTTTTGAAAGTCTATAAATATTAGAGTCAAGAAATAAACTTCCCTCCTTCTTCTTCTTCTCACCCTGAAGTTCCAGTGTCCACATTGTTTTATTTCGGGTCCTATTGTGACATCTATCCATGTATCCAAATGCTTTTGTAAGGGCCTGGAGGGACAGGACAAGGGGAATGGCTTCCCACTGCCAGAGGGCACGGCTAGATGGGATATTCAGACAAATTCAGCCCTGTGAGGGTGGTGAGGCCCTGGCATAGGCAGGGACCCCTTCCAGTGCACCTGGCTGCTCCATCCAGCCTGGCCTTCTGGCCTTGAACGTTTCCAGGGCTGGGGCAGCCGCAGCAGGTCTGGAGACAAAACAGTGCTTCTGCTAACAGTATTCCATATTCCACCACAGCCTGCAGCCAGTCCTGGTCTGAAGGCGCCCAGACCTTCTCAGGTGCCCTGCTCACAGCTGGGCTCTTATTTTGCAAAGGTCCCTTCCCTGCAGATCAGAACAGTCGGGATGGGTGGGGAAGCATTTCCTGGAGGAGCCTGTGCTGTAAGATAGCTGGTGAGACCCCCTGGGAGCTGATAAGCTCCAAAGAGCAGCAGAGCTGTTGTGTCTGGAGGAGCAGATAAATTTGGGACACCATGAGGCTGTGGAAGGTTCCAGAGGCCACCGGAACACTCAAGTGCCAGCTGTGAAACCAACATTGTGTCCAGCCACTGCTCTGGGTGGGATTGTACCTGCTGCAAGGGCAGCCCCCAGCCTGTCAAATTCCTGCCTAGGGTGGTAAAACACTGGCACAGGGTGCCCAGAGCAGCTGCGGCTGCCCCTGGATCCCTGGCAGTGCCCAAGGCCTGCCTGGATGCGGCTTGGAGCAGCCTGGGGTGGTAAAAGGTGTCCTTGCCCAGGGCTGGGCATGGAACAGGATGGACTTTAAGGTCTCTTCCCACCCAAGCCATTCTGAGATTCCATGATTCCAGGATGGACCAAGGATGCTGACACAGGAGGCAGCTCTTTGCAGGAAAAGTCCTGTTGGATTCCACTTTCCCAGCACCATAACGGGCGGAGGGGGGCACGGGGAGCTCACTGGGGAGCGCCAGCTTTCTAGCTACTACAGAACCATCAAAGTCGCCGTAGGGTGTTTATCCCTGGCAGTGCTGACGGGATATTGCTGGAAACTCCGCTTGAGGGCAGCCCGGCACCGGCCTGGCCTGGCCTGCTGCGCTGCACGGAGCCCCCGCGGAGCAGGCCCGGCGGGGCTGGAGCGCGCGGGGCTGGCCCGGAGCCGCTCTGCTCCGGCCTCGCGAAATAAACCCGCTCCCCAGCCGGCTGCACGGCTCACGGAGCCGCTCGGGAGGGGCTGCCTGGCTTCTGTCACGCTCCAGGTTCTGTTTTCAGCGGCTTTTGCCCCTGCAAGCCTTGAGGGTCACCTCAGAAACGATAGGGAAGGCTCTGCCTTGATCTTTCCGGATCCCCAGGGCTGGCACAGGAGGGGTTGCTGCTGTTGGGGGTGTCTGCTTTGGGGGGCTGGTGGCTCTCAGGAGCTGGTCGCTGTTTTGGGGCTGGTCACTGTTTGGGGGGGTCATTGCTGTTTAGGGAGCAGTTGCTGTTTTTGGGGGCAGTTGCTGCTGTTGGGGTGGTTCTGGCTGGGTTTTAGCTCCAGCCCCACCAAAGCCCCCTTGAGCCCCCCAGACCAGTGGGGTTTACAGGCAGAGCCAGGCCTGGGGCTTGTGTGAGGGTACAACAGGGAGTGTCTGCAGGAGTGGGACCGGCTGCTCGGACTCAAGGTGGGGTTTAGAGTCAACAGAAAGAAAGCAAAGCCTGAGATCCTCTTTTTTTCAAACCCCTGTGTCTCCCTCATGCTGCTGACCAGGATCCAGGGCAGGGCCCAGACACAGGGCTCTGGGCTTGACAGTTCTCTGGAAAACCTGTGGGAGAGAATTGTGAAATTGTTGAGGTTGGAAAAGCACTCCAAGAGTAACAAGTCGAAACATTACCCAGCACTGACAAGGCCACCCCAGCCCATGTCCCCAAGTGTCACATCCACACGGCTTTTAAATCCCTCCAGGAACGGGCACTCCACCACCTGGGCAGCTGTGCCAGGGCGGGACAGCCCTTTCCACGAAGGAATTTTCCCCAATATCCAACCTGACCCTCCCTGGCACAGCCTGGGCCCGTCTGTCCCTTGTTCCCCGGGAGCTGAGCCCGAACCCTGTGTTCCACCTCCCGTCCGGGGTTTGTCGGGAGCGAGACCGGGCGGGGGCTGTTTGGGGTGTTTGTTCGGGGGTATTGGGGGTGTTTGGGGGTGTGTGTTAGGGGGTATTGGGGGTGTTTGTTCGGGGGTGTGCGGGGGCTGTTTGGGGGTGTTTGTTCAGGGGTGTTTGGGGTGTTTGTCCGGGGGTGTTGGGGGGTGACGCCAGGACTCCCCGGTCCCGCGCCGCCGTTTGGGGGCGGAGCCTGCCGGGGACCCCGCCCCGCCCCGGTGCGGGGCCAAAAGCGGCGGGAGCGGAGCGGGAGGCGCCGCTGCCGCCGGGACCGAGCGCACGGAGCCGAACAGCCGGTGAGTGCCGAACCGAACCGAGCCGAGCCGGGGGATGCCGCCTCCTCGGAACCTGCGAGGGGCTCCGCTCCTGTGTCCCCCCGCAGCCTCCGGGCAGCCCCCCCTTGCGGGATGGAGCGGGGGTCCCGGGGGTCCCGGGCTGCTCCGGCCGGGGACTGTGCCCGCCGCTCCTCCTGTGCCGCCAGGCTGGCCGCAGCAGCTGTGGCTGCCCCTGGATCCCTGGCAGTGCCCAAGGCCAGGCTGGACACGGGCTGGGAGAGGGGAAGGTGTCCCTGCCATGGCAGGGATGGATTGGGATGCGCTTTAAGGTCCTCTCCTGCTCAAACCTTCTGGGGTTCTATCAAGCCTGTGTAGGACCAGCTGCTGCTCGGCTGGCCGCAGCCCAGCTGTGGGATGAGCTGGAGGGAAGGCTGGGCTGTCCGAGGAGCTGGCTGTGCTCGGGCCAGTGCTGGTCCCTGCCTGCAGAGCCACGACCTGGAGCCTGGCTCTGCCCCATGCCCAGCCTGGGCTGCTCCCGGGAGGCTCTTGCTGGCCCTGCCTGCCAGGTGGGTACCCCAACACCCCGTGTTGCCCCCAGCGATGGCTGAGGAGCTCAGTGAGCTGCTGAGGGAGTTCGACGAGGTGATGGAGGACTTTGACCGGGGCCCTGCCAGTCAGTACCAGCAGCACCTGGAGGAGCTGAAGAGGAAAGCGGGACAGAGTGTGTATGACAGTGGCATCGATGAGCTGGAGAGTGAGTCTGGGCGGGGGGTGAGGAGCCCTGGGGAGGGTGGTGTCTGCCAGGGTGGGCAGCTCTGTGGTTCCTGCATGGAGCACATCTTCCTGCTGACGCTGCCTGACTCAGCCTGGTGGGCTGGATGAGCAATGGGGGGATGACCACTGGATACTGGCCCAGGACCTGCCAACATCTGCCAGGGCTTCTTATGCCAGGCAGGCTGCTGCAAGACCCTGAGAGGCTGGGGATAACCCAGTTCTCGTAATAACCCTGTCCTTGTAACTGTGCCCAGACAGCCTCTGGTGCTCTTTGACCTGAGAAAGAAACTCAGTTCCATTTTTCCAAGCATTCCTAGAAGCAGGGGAGAAGCAGATGGGGTCTCTAAGAGTGTGCCACTCTGTCCCATGGGCATGATCAGGCCGTGTTCCTGCAAGGTGTTCATCAGGTGCCTGTGCCCAGGCCAGGGACTGATGCTCTGTCTCCACAGGTGCCAGCACATCCCCAGGAAGCAGCCTCAACTCCAGTGAGGAGCACCTCAACAGCCCAGCTGACACTTATCCCACCAAAGGTGAGCCTGGTCCCACCCAAAGGGGTTTGCAGGGCTTCCTTCTCTGTGCTCAGCTGGGCTTGGCAATGACAGCCAGCCCTGGATGGGGGGGTGCCAATGGGAATGAGCCCTTGTGTCCTGGCAGGAGCCCGGAAGGGGCAGAAGTTAGATTGGGATTTTCCCAGCTGAGGCTGGACTGGCTGGGTCAGACACAGCTGGAGCAGCTGTGCTAGGAACGGGGGGTTGGGGTCTCTCCTCTCCCCAGTGAGAGGAGGAATGGGAAGACCTGACTCTGTTTTTCCCCACTAGCAAAGCTTGGAGACACGCAGGAGCTGGAGGAGTTCATCGCAGACCTGGATAAAGCCTTGGAGGGTACATGCCCAGCCTTGATCCCTGCACTTCCCACGGGATGGGACACCTGGGCTGGAACTCCTCCCCTGCCCCTGACTTGGCACAGCCTGGCCAGCACCTCCTGTGCCTGGGGGTCCCGCTGCAGGGGACTTGGAACTTGATTTTGGCTGCAGTGGTGGAACCTTTCCATCCTTCCTTTTGAGGAGGGGCTCATGGTTGTCACCTCCCTCTTCCAGCTTTCTCACCTTGGGAAGAAATTCCATGGCTTAAGGGTCTTCCCCCTCTGCTGCCTGAGTTTCCTCAGATGAGGTGCAATGCTGGTGCCTGGGGAGGGGACTGGGGACATGAAGGCTGGGTTAGTCCTGGCAGTGAGGCCCAACAGCACAACCTGCAGAGCTGTAGATGTTTTGGGGAAGATATACAGAAACCTGTGGCTCTCTGCCTGCAGCCTCCCTCCAGCTGCAGCTCAGAGGCTGCTCTTTACTTGGGGGGCAAGGTGAGCAGGAGGAAAAAAGGGATCTTCCCTTGTGGTGTATCCTAAGCTACCCCATCAGGAGGGAGGAGAGTGGGTGTGTGGTGGCAGGGAGGGCAGTCCCAGGTTGTTGGCCATGCTCTCCTCCTCCAGATGTTTCCCTCCTGGTAAGAGCCTGGGGGTGTCCCTGTGAGAGGGGGTGATGTTGTGCTGGGCAATGGGGGGATGTACCCAGCAATGGGGGGATGTACCCAGATGTTTCCCTCCTGGTAAGAGCCTGGGGGTGTCCCTGTGAGAGGGGGTGATGTTGTGCTGGGCACCTCTGGCATCTGTACCCAGCAGCCCTGGAGAGTTTGGCTGCTCCCCAATAGCTGCTTTGCTGGGGAAACCGAGGCAGAGGCCACTTCCTCCCACAGGGGCCCTGTGTGACGGGCTGGAGGC